TAGATTAGTCCTCATTATGTATAGTTTAAATTATTTAACATATTTGTAATAGCTGTTATCTTTGTGATATGGTTTGGATATTTGTCCGAGCCAAGCCTTATGTTGAGATGTAATCCCCAGTGTTGGAGATGGGGCCTGGTAAGAGATGTTTAGGCCATAAGGGAAGTTACCTCATGGCCTAGTGCTGTCCTTGCAATAACGAGTGAGTTTTTGCAAGATATGGCTGTTTAAAAGTGCGTGGCACTTCCCCATGCCCTCTCTTTTGCTCCTGCGCTGGCCATGTGAGGTATCTGCTCCTGTCTCACCTTCTATCATGAGTAAAATCTTCCAGTGTCCTCCCTAGAAGAAAGCAGTTGCTGATACCATGCCTATACAGCCTCAAGAACCGTAAGTCAATTAAACCTCTTTTCTTTATAAACTACTCAGCCTGGTATTTCTTTATAGCAATACAAGAATGGCATAACACACTTTTTATGTTAATTCCATCAATGTTATTTCTGTATCTGATTTTTTTTAATAATTTTCTCCCTGGTTGTGCATTACATTTCTTAGATTCTTTGTAGACCAGTTAATTTTTGATAGTCTGATGGACATTATGAACGTTATCTAGTGTCCACATTTTATTGTCCCTTTTTAATGGGGAACTTGTTTTATCAGTCAGTTATTTTACTTGTGAATTAGCTTGATAATTTCATAGCTTTTAAAAAAAAAAACTTTGAATTGGATCTGGAGTCATTTTAATACTAGAACTATTTTCGTTTCACAACTAAGGTGGGATCGTTTGGGAGGTGAAGTCAGTTGTCTGAGGTCATGCAGCTAGGGAAATGGCAGAGCCAAGATTGAAGCCCAGGTATGCCTTGACAAGAACCTGTATTCCTAGCCGATATGATGCCCAGAGATAAAGCTACTGAAGGGCTTGGTCAATGGCATAGGCAGAGCCTACTGGAGTTGAGAGAGACCATCAGTTTGATCTAGGGTGGTTAGAGAAGACCTTTGTGGAATGAGAGTACTTGATCTGACACCAAATGGCAGATGGAATTCAAACAGGCAGGGAAGACAGTACAGAGTTTTCTTTTCAAGGAATATTCCAGAAGCACAGACATAGAAACAGCAATGCTCTAGACAGAATTGTTCTTATGACAGTGAGTTGTCCAGGGGGATAAGGTTGAATAGAGTGGAAATAAAGCAGAAAAGTAGCAATGAGGGCTAATTCTGTCACTCTCTAGTGATGACAAGTGGGGCATAGCCAGTTTTGTGAAGCTTTACGCTTATTCTAGATTTACCCAGACCCACATGGCAGCTTCACAAAGCTTTACTGGACAAACCTGAAGAATACAGAGCCACCTAGCCTGTTACCCAAACTGGATTGACATTCAGTGGCTAATGGGAAATCCATAATATTCCATTTCTAGTCTAGTCTTTTATAAAGCAAAAAAAAAAAAAAAATCTTTGAAAGTACAGCACTTATGCAAATGTGGTATTACTATCAGATACCAAATGTGCATAGCCATCTGCTATGTTGTCAGAGCTAGGCTTAGAAATCTCTCCACTTCAAAACTCTACATAAAGCCTTGCAGTGCCTATCAGATTATATACTATCAATGGGCTTTAAGAAGGCTAGGGATTCATTATATTATCACTGAATAAAAATCCACCTGGATATAATGATTATAAATGAATTTTCAATTAATTAATGAAGACCTGAGGTTAGACTTTACACACCAATTCTGCTCAGCCATCTGCTCAATATGCATTGTCATAGCCTGGGAATTCCCTCTGGCTTTCCCCATGTACTCAGAGCCTAGGAGGTAGAAACACAGATTTACCCATTCATTCAGTCAACCAGCAGCAAATATCTATTGAGTGTCTATTATGTATCAGATACAGCTCTAGGAGCTACAGATACAGTTATGAACAAGACAGGCAAAGGTCCTGCCTTCATATATCTTATGTGAGGGGAAATAGTAGCAAGTTGATATAAAATATAATGTCCAGTAGTGATCGTGCATTAAAAAAAAGCATGGTAGAGAAAGGGAGGGTGACTAGGGCTTTACTCCAGATACACTAGGCATGGAATGCCTTTCTGATGAAATGACATCGAAGCAGAGACCTGTAGGAAGCAAAGAAATGAACTTTGAATGTGTCTGGAAGAGTGTGCTGTGAGCAAAAGGAACATAAATGCAAAGCAAGAATCCAAAATAAAAGCTTAACTGGCACATTCAAAAAAGAGTAAAGAGAACATTGTGTGTGGGGCATAGTGAAAAAGGAGGAAAGTGGTAGGAGATTAAGTCAGAAAAACAGGCAACCACCTGATTATACACACCCTGCTAAGGAGCTTGTCTTTTATTCTGAGTGAGAGAGAAAGATACTAAAGGGTATGAGCAGTGAAGTAAAATGTTACACCAAAGAGTTTGATTCAAGTTTTTGGAGTAAGGTATTTTTAAAACTTCCTCAAGTTATTCGAATATGTGTGTTATCAGCTGAAAATGATTGCTTAGCAAGAATATTATGTGTGCATTTTGAGAAGGGATTTGGAGCAAAGGAAGCAAAGGTGAAAACAGGAACACCAATTAGGAAGCCATTGCCATAATTCAGGCAAAAGTTCATGATGGCTTGGATTATTTGAGGGTGATTTGAGAATGAGAAGTATGAGGGGATCTACATGTCCCTGTCAGTATTTTGGCTGCTGCAAAAAATGGTGAAATGTCTAGTGCTCTGCCCCTCTGGACTCCTTCTCGCTATAGATGGACCAGCTGAGTTCTCATCCCACCCCTCAACTCAGCAAGACCAGAAAATCATTCCCAAATAATACGGAGTATTCTGATAGTCCTGGTTAAACACATCAGCTACTTCAGCATAAAATGCTACTCTAATCTGATGACAAAGCTCTAGGAATGCAACTAAAGATCTCAGATCAAACACTGATCTGCCTGGTTAGCCAGGTTCTCCAGCTCTAGATCCTTTTTTGCCTGTCCTTCCCGAAAGTCTAATTTATATAATGGCCACTATTTATTGAACAGTCACCTGGGTAATGTACTGTTCTAATCACCTTATATTAACTAACTCACCACTAAAACCCTGGGAGGTTACTGCTATAATTATACCTGTTATAAGATGATGTAATTAACGAGAGGGTTTAAGCAACTTGCCCAAAGCCACACTTTGTTTCTAGAGTAGGATTTAAATCTAGGTCTGCAATGACTACAAAGGCCGTGGTTTTAACCATTTAACCAGGTTTCCAGTTCTAAAAACAGACCCGAGGCAAGACCTAGAAAATGCTGACAAATACCTTGACTTTACTGCCTTTCTGAATCTCTGCACGATGTTTCCCTTTCCAGATGGGCAACGTACCTCTGGTTTAACTGTCCTCAACTCCAAGCTTGTTAAGTGTGCTCAGGATACCAGCTTCAATGAAGGGACTATATCCGGTTTCTGGGTATCTGCCTTTTGGAGTGAGGATATCTATGACTATGACCCTCCCCGCCCCCAGGGCAGTATGCCTTCTTCCAGAACAGTGAAGTTTGAGTGTCTCAGCTAAACATTCTCATTCCTTTCAATGGTATTTCCTCTTGCTCCCCTGGGGAGCTCAGTTTGCTTGTACCTCTGAAAAGCCAGCAGAATCATTCAGAAAGGACAATGCCTCTTCCTCTTTCTAGGGCTTAATTTTACACTCTGGAGAATGTGAATTTCTAAAGGTCTTGACAAAGCCAAAAGCCAAAACCCTTTCAGCATCTGCCATCTTTTAGTATCTCTGACAAATGGAAGCAATAGTTTCCCAAAGGTTTACCCTTCACCTCCCACAGTTCAATTATACAATCAAAGTCTGTGCACATACATCTTTATATTAACAATGCATTGTATGATGGTTTATCTGTTTTGCAGATGATGAAATGCATTTGAAGAGGGAAGTCCTTACAGTCTTCCAAGTGCCTATGATTGAACAATAATCTTGGGTAGTTCCAGAACTAGCTGAGTATGTGAGCACATAGAGTGCTGGGAAATGCAAACTGAGCACCATCATATCATTTATTGAAAACAGCCCTAGAGATAAGTTAAAAATTGTTAATATAAAATATGAGCAAGGAAAAGTGATTGGAATATAAACTATTAAGAAAACTGGGAGACGACCTAATTTGTATCTGATATGCAGCATTAAAATGTGATTTATAAATGGATTTTGTAAAACCCTGAGTTTACTCCTGCTAGCTGTAAATACACGGAGAAATAATCCTTTTTTTTCCTGTGTAAGAAAAAGTGCTCATATGGAAGTGTCACTGTGGTGTTTGCCCAAAAATCTTCTCTGTGCTTTGTGTTAACAAGCAATGATTGGGTTTTTAAAAATATTTTTTAAATCTTCTGTCAAAAATTCATGTATGTGTCACAGGCCTGATAAAAATCTTTAAATGTCAAATGAAGTCTGTCACTAAGGTGCCACTTTCTCTGGAAGAGCCAATGTTGGTCTTGGCTGGTTCCTACCGCAGGTAATAGGGATTTGTGGGATAAGGTTCAAGGAACTGAGACTCTCTGGCTTTCCCTTTAGTAGTCCAGGAAGCTGAGCATATTGGTTAAAGGCTTTTCCTCTTCTGCTCTTTCACAAAAAACCATCGTCGAGCATGTGGTTGGACCAAATGTAGTCATTTTGTCATTGGCTGTTTTCTTTTCTTCTGTTACCTCAGGATTCGATGATTCTCGGAACCCTGTAGGATCATTTTCCCTGGAATGGTATATTGTCCCAGCACCTTTCAGGATTATTTTCATCCTACTTTTCTCCACTTCCCCTCTTCCATACCCAAACTAGTAGTTAGTGTGGGCTTAATGAATGCAAAGTCATTTCAGTATTTGCCTGAACTAAACAAAGCTAGGAAGACCTATATTTTAACTGAAACTATATTTATAGTAGTCATAGAAGAAAGACAGGACAATACTGGATACTCTGGAAATAAATTAGCATGGTGTTTAACAGGTTTGAGAATCAGGCAGATCTTGGTTCTTATAGGAACTGCACTATTTTAATATTCCAATTTAGTTTGTACAATTATGGTGTGATTAAATAAGATAACAAATGTAAAATGTTCAGCACTTTCAGCACCATACCTTAAACAGTAATGATAGTGATTATTATTCTGAATAATGCCTTGATGGTCAGCCTCAGAAATATTTTGCAGCACTGAGCACCTACTGTGTGATAAATAAAACATACTATCTTCTCAAGTTTGTCACAGAATGCCAGTGGATATCACACTTATGTACACGATCTAAAGCATAATATAGGTAGTGCCAAGTATTACACTGTAAGGGTGGAAAGATATGATAATAAGGTTCATGGCTGACATTCCTTTAACAAAATACAGGTGAACAAGAGAAAAGCATAACATAATAATTTAGTCAGTTTTATGTGACATGGGAGTCTTCAGAATGAAGATTCAAAGATACAGGGAAAACTATTTTTATGCTTAGGTTCAATGAAGAATCAACAGTTGCATAGAAATATAATCGGGAAAAAATTATATGATTGAATGCTAGTAAACCAAGGGGTCAAACACAGCAATGTCAACTTGTTCAGATTCTTCCTGGCGTCTGCATTGAAACATTTCTTTATCCCATGTATGTGGCTAGACCTTTCTGGAATAAGGGTCTTATGACCTATAATCAGACAAGGATAGGTCAGATAATTTCTTTATGGCTAGCTCTTAGAAAGGAAGGAGAATGTTAGAATAATAATTCTAGCTTTATGGTTGACTTTGGGGAAAGGGGACTCTAGTTTCTATGACTCACCTTGGGGAACAAGAATTCAGGTGTCTATGACTTGCTTCAGGGGAGAATTAGCGGCAAGAGACAAGAGGGCAGGAGACAGTCAGAGACATCTTTCTTCTGAGACTGCTTTTGAGGCCTACCAACATCCTTTAGTTTAAAATACTCAGTATGCCAAAGTGACATACTTTGGGGTATGGTTTTCTAGTCCCCAAAATACAGTAGTCTCCTCCACCTGCAGTTTCACTGTAAGTGGGTTGCTTAACCCACAGTCACTCGTAGTCTGGAAATATTAAATGGAGAATTCTAAAAACAAATAATTCATGAGTTTTAAGTTACACACCACTCTGAGTAACATTATGAAATCTCACACTGTTCTACTCTCTCCTGCCTGGGACATGAATCATCCCATCATCCAGCAGATACATATTGTAGATGCTACCTGCCTATCAGTCACTTAATAGCTTTCTTGATTATCACATTGACTGTGCAGGTATCACAGAGCTCATGTTGAACTAACCCTTATTTTACTTCATAAGGTCCCTGAAGTACAAAAGGAGTGATGCTAGCCATTTGGGTACGCCAAATATAAATATAAAGTCCTTTCTTTAAGTGAAAAGGTGAAAGTTCTCAACTTAGTAAGGAAACAAAAATATATATATGCTGAGGTTGCTAAGATTTCTGGTAAGAACAAATATTCTGTCTGTGAAATTGCGAAGAAAGAAAAATACATTTGTGTTCATTTTGCTGTGTCACCTCAAACTGCAAAAGTTACTGCCATTTTGCATGATAAGTGCTTAGTTCAGTTGGAAAAGACATTACATTTGTGGGTGGAAGGCATGAACAGAAGCATGTGCTGATTAACAGCAACATGTAGCACCAGAAAGCATTGAGTTTATATGAAAACTTCAGCAACGGATTTCCCAAAACTAGTGACACCAAACCATTTACTGCAAGTAAGGGATGGTTACACAGATTCAGGAATAGATTTGGATGGAAAAATACATAATTTACTGGAGAAGCTGCATCTTCCAACAAAGACGCTCCTGCTACATTTTGGCTGAGTTGAAGAAGCTGATTAAGGAGAAAGGATACCATCCAAAGCAAGGTTTCAATCGCAATGAGGATGTCCAACAGCACTTACATTCATAAAAGCACAAAGGATGCACCAGGGCATAAAACATGGAAGGGAAGATTAACTCTGGCACTATATGGCAACGCATATATAGAGATCAGTATTATCCAAGGTTTCAGGTAACCACTGGTGATGTTAGAGCTTATCCCCTGTGGATAAGAGTAAGGAGTACTCTATGAAGAAGTCACAGAAAGCTGAGAAGAGTGGGTAAAGGAGGGGAAATAATGGGGCAGGAAGGGAAGAGGAAAAGCAGCAAACACCACTTACCAGAGAAAAAATTCATGGAGGAAGCAATAATAGACCTCAATCCTGAAGGATGAATAATTGTCTGAGATACTTTGTGTAACATCAAAGGACTGATATCATAAATAATTTGGCTCTAGACTGTATCTTATCTATTATTATATGCTCCCATAATGCCCAGCACAAAGTAGTTGTATTATCAATATTTCTGGGATGAATGAAAACAGATTTTAGGGCTTTGTGAGTGGAAGGAAGGGAATTGCAAGATGTGAATGGTTATTTTGGGTACGCATAGAGATGAGAGGGAGGGATTTCTTCCACTTTAACCTAGCATTCAAATGCACACAACTCCCTTTCATCTGCCCAAGGATTCAGGGCTTCTGGTCTTCCTCAACCTGATCACTCAAGGGTACATCCACTTCTCATTGAGCTTCATACACTTTGCTCACCACTCCTCAGGACCCTGTTTTTTAGAAATACATTGACCTGAATAATGATCATATATGGCTTAAGTATCACCACTGTTCCTCAGAGGTGCTGGGATTTTCCCTTGCATTGTTTTGTAAGGTTCCATCACATATTCTGAAGTTAAAGCTATGGTTGTCCATATGCTTAAGTATTTTCTGTTTAAGAATAATGTCATGGAATTCAAATAGCCAGGTCTCTTTTCTCTATCAAATGCCAAAACATGACATTTATCTGCATTGTTGGTTTCTCCTCTTGTTAGAATTACAGGCTTTTAAAAGTGACCTGGAGATCATCTAGCATTCAAATGTATCTTCCTCATTTTACGTAAAAAGAAACTGAGACACAAAAAGGAAAAAGCTTTTCCCCCAAAATCATAAGAAGCTATGACAGGACTGAAGCCAGCATTCATCTATTTCTCATCCCCTTTTTTTCTTCTTGTATCATGTAATTGGGATTACTAACATTTTTTAATTCCTCTCATTAATTCATACTTTTGCCCTAACCCAATGTTCACCTGTGCCACTGGAATATATCCAAGCAAAATCATCAATTCTAAGATGTTAGTAATGCTATCTGATTCTTAGCTCTTCAGTGTGAGAAGCTTAATAGCCTCCAAAGCTTGGCTACTGTGGATGTGAATAATCATTTAACACCCCCTATTGCCAAGAGAGCTTCAGAAAATTATTCTCTGGAGATGAGTATAGTTAGCAAACTTCCAAATACCTGGGTTCAAGATTTAGCTATAAAACTTAATCTCTAAATGACTGTAGACAAGTTAGTTAACTTCTCAATGCTCCAGTTTCCTTACCTATAAGATGAAGATGATGAAAATTTATTCAGAGGACTGTCTTGAGAATTAAATATAATAATGCATGTAAAGAGCTCAACAGATGGAGAGGAAGCCTCATGGGTACCTAATATAGATAATTTAGATTATGAGATTTTGATCTTTTAGCTGATGAGATTTAGATGAGATTTAGGATTTTTAGCTGATGAGTTGATAAAATTTAGATTTAGATGATGAGACACCAGGCTGATGCTATGATGGGATGAGACTCGTGGGAATATTGTGAATGCATTTTGCACTTAGAAGGGATGTGAGTCATTTGTGGCCAGAGGGAAGACTGGTTGGCAAAATCCAAAGATGGTCTCCAATATTCCTACCACTTGCTGTATAATCCCTCTCCTTGAGTGTGGGCAGAATCTGTGAATATGGTGGGTGTTACAACTGTGATTAGGCTATGTTATATGGTAAAGATGAAACAAAAAAACTTTGTAGATACATTAAAGTTCCCAATCAGTTTGACTCAAAACAGAAATTATTCTGGGTGGGTCTGATCTAATCAGATGATCTAATCAATAGAGTATAGAAATCGGAGACAGAAGAAATTTCTCTCTTGCCTCCCATGCTTCCCAGCAGATTTGACCTTTCATGACTTTTTAAAAGTGTCCCTGTTGTCTAAGTACCCAGCCCTGCTCTGCCTGAACTCTACTTAGAGGTAAAACTCTACAGAGTTCTACTTGGAAGTCATAGCTTTCCCCAGGCAGCTCTGTCCCTGTAGCCCACAGCTACTCAAAGAGTTGGTACTGAATATTTTATTTTGGAAGACTGTTCTCAACTTTTTCTAAAGTAAGGCCTTAGAGTCCCTGTAGCTATCTTAGCATTAAGCAGATCTAATTAAGTACACTGGAGACAAGATGTCATCCTTCACTCAGTGACTTTCAGTTGCCATTGTTGACAATTTCATAATGGGTATGTCATGGAGGAACAACAACTCCTAAGGGTGCTGTCCTATTGCCTCAGTACTTACTCTCTAGTGTCTCACAGTAAGTACAACCCAGTATGGGCCATATATTACTTTTAATGTTTTCAGGAGCCTGTATGGCCTTGGGCTGAAGTGAGTGGTTGGATCTTCCCCATTCAATTCAGAAGACACAGACTGAAGGCATGATATAGGCAGCACTACAGACTATATAGAGAGTGCTGACTTCTGAATTGGCCTCAGAGCTCCCCAAGCAGGCTTATTACTGAAAATAAAGAAATTGAGGGTTACTCATTTAGGGTTAATTAACTTTATCAAGTCGCAGAGCCAGGTCAGTCAGACTCTAAACCTGATACACTTAACTATATAATATTCATAGTGTGCAACCTGCTTTTTTTGGGTTATGGAAATTTTGGCTTCGAAATTTGGAGACTTAATTTCTACTAGATCTACTAGATTATTCATTTAGTATGCACATTTTGGGGAAGTTTTGTCACTCTGTGAATCTCAATTTTCTCATCAGTAAAAATGTGGAAAAGGAGGGGACTGCTATATTAGATGACCTTCGAGGGGAAATTCCAGCTCTACTATTCAAGTATTTTATCAAATATACATTGGGGCTTCAAGTTTACCTGCCTATATTGGAATATTGTGCTTTGTCATTGTAACTGCTCAAGGACTCAAGGTTATTACTAATTTTACTCCATAGAATATGCTAATGAGACAGAGGAAATTGATGGCTTATCTCATGTTGTGATGTATTATTTCTTGTTCAATCAATACATCCTTGCTTAGTGACTATTCTGTACAAAACAGTAGATTTTGTACTGTGGGGAATTCAAAGAAGTAAAGGAAATATCACCTGTCCTCCTAAAACTCAGTACTAATCAGGATGTGAGAATCAACTACGTACCTACACCCTAAGGCAGCAACATATAAGAATCATGGGACAAATAATAAGGAAATCAGCTGGGGCAGTGGTCAATGCCTTGGTAACTTAATATGCTTGAGATCTGGATTCTAGACTTACCTTAAGTCATCAACTTACTGTGTTATTGTTGCAGGACACTTCTCACTGGACATCATTTTCTTTTCTTTCTTTTTTTTTTTTTTTTTTTGAGAGATAAGATCTTTCTCTGTCACTGAGGCTAGAGTGCAGTGGCTGGATCATAACTAGCTGCAGCCTCAAACTCCTGGGTTCAAGTTATCATCCTACCTCAACCACCCAAGTAGCTGGGACTACAGGCACATACCACCACATCCAGCTAATTTTTGTATTTATTTAAGGATGATATCTTGCTGTGTTGCCCAGGCTGGTCTTGAACACTTAGCTTCAAATGATTCTCCTGTCTTGAACTCAAAAATGGTTGGGATTACAAGAGTCAGCCACCACCCCCAGCCCATGGGCCTTATTTTCTAAACAGTGACAAAGTTGGGCTAGGTAATATTTGAAGGAATTTTCAGTATTGCCATTATGGGATTCTAGGAAATGAGGTAGATCATTGTCTTAGTCAGTTCAGGCTGCTAAAACAAAGTACCATAAACTGGGGAGCTTATAAATGACATAAATTTATTTCTCACAGTTCTGGAGTTTGGAAGCCTGAGATCAGAATGCCAACATTGTCAGATTCCGGGGTGGGCTTTCTTCCAGAGAGGCAACTTTTCCTTGTATTCTCCTCATATGGCAGAAAGAGAGCAAGCCAGTTCTCTGGCCTCTTACTATAAGGGCACTAATCACACTCATAAGGGTCTCACTCCACCCTCGTGAACTAATTGCTTCCGATTTGGCCTCTCCTTTAAATATCATCAAATTGGGATTAGGGTTAGACACATGAATTTTAGGGGTACACAAACACTCAGCTTATTGCAATAGTTTTTGGTGAAGAATGGAAAAGATTTACTGAATTCAGCATTGTATTCTCAACATTGTTACTGGGCATAAAAGTAGATGGAGC